TTCCTGCACCAAAAAAAAAAAAAAAGTCTGGATTTTTGTTTCTCCAGAGTCTCATCCTGCAGCCAAACTCACTACGTACCTGATGAGCATCCTGATCCTGCTTCACTGCCCATGGGCTAGGGTCGTACATGCTCGGCTAGCCATGAGGGTGGTGGTTTGTTTCAATGTTAATCCTACTTGATGTCTATGGGGGTTTTCATCTGCATGTGTGTCTGTGTACCGCTTGTATTTCTGGTGCCCTCAGAGGCTAGAAGAGGGCATTGGATCCCTAGAACTGGAGTTATGTGGGTGCTGGGGATTAAACCTGGCTCCTATGGAAGAGCAGAGAGTGCTCTTAACTGTTGAGCCATCTCTCCAGGTCCCAAAATTCCATTTCAGACAGTACATTATGCCTAGAAATTCAATGTCCACTAGGTAACATAACAAAACTTTAAAAAAAAATCGCATTTCAGCATCCTTAAGTAACTTTATTGAAGCTGGGTACAGTGGTGGACATCTTTAACCCCAGCACTTGGGAGGCAGAGGCAGGGGTATCTCTGAATTTGAGAACAGCTGGTTCCAGGACAGCTGGGACTACACAGAAAAAAACTTGTCTCAAAAAACAAAACAAAACACCAATGTGTGTGTATGCACATATACAGACATGTATCTTTATTAAAGGTAGCCTCATTGACATACACGTTGTCTTCACAGTTCTATAGCAGCAGAGCTGAAAGAAGTTTTGACACAGTCTTATAGCCCAAGTAGATTTCAGACTTGCAGTGTAGCCAAGGCTGGCGCTGAGCCCCTGACCCTCCTTCCTCTACGTCGTGAATGCTGCAGTTACAGGTTTATGCCACATACAGCAAAAGCACAACTTCTTCAATTTTTGCCAGTGATCACAGAACAAATTTTTATACAACCTGGGTATGTATATAAGTATATAAAAAGTAATACAAGGTAAACACTTACTGATTAATCATAATTTCTTGAAACAGTTCTTTGGTATACATGTAATTTTACAGCTTATAAAGATGAAGGCAATCTTACATACTAATGATGTTATGCTTATTTCAAATGAAATCTTGGGTGCTGGAGAGATTGCTGAGGCCTTAAGAACACATACTGCTGTAGTAGCCTACATTTAGTTCTGAGCACCACAATGGGCAGCTCATAATTGCCTGTAACTACAACTTTAGGGGATGTGACACCCTCTTCTGGCCTCTCAAAGTAACTCTACTCATGCAAATACACACACAAATGCTTTGCGTGGGACGTGGAGGCAAGGTCTCCTTATATAGACCAAGCTGTCCTTGAACTTACTGTGTAGACCAGGGTGGCCCTGAACTCCCAGAGATGTCTCTGCCTCCTATGTTCTGGGATTAAAGGCATACATACACCACTACACTTGGCAAAATTCATTTAATTTTAAAAAACATTTTATGTGGCTGGAGAGATGGCTCAGTAGTTAGAGCATTTGCTGCCCTGGCAGAGGATCCAGGTCGAGTTCCCAGCACCCACATGCATAACTTTCTGTAACTCCAGGTTCAGAGGATCCTATGCCCTCCTCTGTCCTCCACAGACATTGCATTCACATGGTGCACACAGATACATAGATGCAGGCAAATCACCCACACACATAATTTTTTAATTCATGTGTACGTGGGTTTGTGTCTGTTGTGTATGTGAGAGAGAAAGAGTGAGTTTTTATGTGTGTTAATGTCCAGAGATCACATGAATCGTATCTTCTGGAGCTGCAGTTACAGGTGGTCGTGAGATGTCTGACATGGGTGCTGGAAACTGAACTTGGGACTTTATAAGGGCCATGTGTGCTCTTAACTGCAGAGCCATCTCTCCAAACCCTCAAACGGTAGTTTTAAAAACTGAATATTCTGCTGGGCAGTGGTGGCCCGTGCCCTTAATCCCAGCACTTGGGAGGCACTGGCAGGTGCTTAGGGTCTTGGGGAGAGCAGACAGTGCTCTTAACGCCCAGCCATCTCTCCAGCCCTGGAAAGTTTCCTTCGGCTATGATGGTCCTTTTGTGCTCCCAACAATTTTGTATTTCCATCATAATAGTTGGTCTTTTCTCTTTTGGGTGTGGTGGTAGTGGTAGTGCCATGGACTGAACCCAGGATTCACCCATGCTAGGCAAGTACTCTACTCACTGAGCTACATCCCAGAGACAGGATCTTAAAGCCCTGATATACAAACCAGACTGGCCTAGAATTCAGAGGTCCACCTGCCTCTGACCCTGGACAAATGTTGGGATTAAAGACATAGAGCCATGACCCCCAGCTCTTTTTAAATTTTTAGGGACCTGGTTCAGCAGTTAGAGCACTGGGTGCTCTTCTCAAAAAACCAGGTTCTATTCCCAGAACCTACATGGTTCACAACTCCAGTTCTAGAGGATCTCCTGCCCTCTTTTGACCTCCATCAGGCACACACATGGTATACATATTGGCAAAGTACTTAACAAACCTCAGAAAAAAAATTAAAAATTGCGATTTTGAAGCAGGGAAGTTGCCCAGATTGTCTTCAAACAATATGCAGCCCAGACTGGCCTGAAGGTTGCCCCGGTTTCCTCAACTGAGATTACAAGCCTGTGCCACTATGCTGGACTACTTTCTTTTCCCTGACGGGTGGTAAGATTCTCAGAATCGTAGTATTTCAGTTACCTGGCACTTGGGAAACAGGATCAGGACTACACGGTCAATATCACCTAAGAGTCTAGGCTAAGTTATACCAACAGCATTAAACAAAACGAAAAAGCCTGTAATCCCAGCACATCAGGATTACCCTGGATTTGCAGCCAGCCTGAACTACAGGAAGACAAAACACAAGTTTTTATCTATTTATATCCCCGTTCGCCGTACTGAGCCTAACGCCCCCATTTTGCAGATCTGAATACAGTTTTCATTGCACAGCACAGATAATACTTTCTTTGGCTCCCCTTCAAGCTACCGCTCTTCCCAAACGTTTACACTTTCCTGAAACCTGCTGTCGTGCCCCGAATAGTGGTTCCCTGGTCTACCCCTGCCCTGATCTGCCCATTTTTGAGCAGCAAATACCTGCTCCTGGCTACTAGCCTCACTGGACCTTATCCAGGGCATTGTACAGGGGTTTTACACAGACCGCAGCCTCTCATCTGAACTCACATGCACGGGGGCAGTGAAGGCCCAGAAGCCCTCCCGGCCTCCCTAGGGCGCCCTCCCCAAGGTAAATGCGCACAAGCGGCTCCACCATCGGGACACGGCGGGCGCGGTGCTCCAGGCTCTGAGCACGAAGCCGTTCCCCCACCCATTGCACCGGTTACGGCCAAGGTGTGGCGGCCGGTGGCACACGACTGTAACCCCAACACTCGGGAGGCGGAGGCGGTAGAACCGCCGCGGGTTCGAGGCCAGCCTGGGCTCGAGGGCGAGCCCCGCTCCCAAAAACAAACATGTCCGCCGGGACGTCTTTCCGGAGACTTGGTCTCCTCGGGGCCCCAGTTTCCACCCCTTGACGGGCCAGGGTCTCCCGCGGCCCGGCCGTTTCCCGGGGAGAGCGCCCGGGGGCGCGTGCTCGGGCGGTTGGCCGCCAACGGTCTGCTAACGCGAGAGGGGAGCCCGGGAAGACGGGCGCGAACAGGGCCGGCGGCGGG